GAAAGAAAGAAAGAAAGAAAGAAAGAAAGAAAGAAAGAAAGAAAGAACGATCAAAGTAAAGACAGAGTAATCAGTGTAGGGACTCTTATCTTCTTAGCACGGCCTTGGGAAGCCTCTGTGCAGGCAAAATCAGAGCTGAGACTTACAGGAAGTGATAAATACCCTGAGGACAGCGGGAACAACAGCTTAGAGATGGCATTTGACCCTAGAAACTTTATGAGATAACCAAAGAACTTACTGTAAAGAGAGACAAACTGGTAAGCAAGGATTCCTGCCTCACATATTTAAGAGTCAACACTATGAGAAGTTACAGCAAAGGAGCCCAAGGAAGAGTGGTCTAGAGAAAAGAAGACAAAAGTGAGGAGATAGGATCCTGGGAACCAGCTGAGCAAAGCTCCGCCCAGTCAAGGCCAAGGAAGGTGAGGACTGTGAAGTTATTGTGACTCTGGTACACTGGTCAGGTCACTGATAACCGGGAGAAAAGCACTTCTGACAGACCACTGAGTACATGGGGGTGAGGTTGCACACACTGTCAGAGTAGATTTGGAAGACAATGTGAAAGAAGGAAGAATTGAAATAAATGACTTACAGTCAGGCCCAAGGTACAAGGGCATGTGACTGTGTCTGTGTGTGTGTGTGTGTGTGTCTGTGTGTGTGTGTGTGCGTGTGTGTGCCTGTGAGCATGTGTGCATGTGTGTGTGTGTGTGTCTGTGTATGTCTCTTTGTGAATGCATGCATGTGTGTGTGTGTGTGTGTGTGTGTGTGTGTGTGTGTGTGTGTGTTTGGTCTTTGACAGAGCACAGCCTCACTTACTATCAAAAGGAACAGAGAAGACCAGAACATCCAGGGTATAACAGTTGATTTGGGGCAGAGAAAGTTGTCTTTTGTCTATTTCCATTATCTAAAAAGTGGAAATGAAAGCCATTGACCCAAAGTGAGGAAAGCAAGCAGGATTTGGAAAGAGAGAAAAAAACAACATGTGAAGTCTTTCCCTGAGGGAGCAGGAAAGTAAGTAGATGGGGAAAGAGCGGACTATGGTAGGAGATCAGTACACATCAGGGGCTTTCCTAAGCGCTTCTTCCTTATTAACTCAATCAATCTTTACTATGATCCCAGAGCTAAATATTTTTTTTCTCTTTTACAGATTAATAGACTGAGCCAGAAACAGTAAAAACAAACATCTCATAATTATCCAAATTATGCAAACGGAAGAGTAGAGAACCTGAGGCAGGAGGTTTGGCTCCATACCCCTCATGCTCTGCTGCCTCTTAAGGGACCCTGGGCATCTGCCATGGTACAGTATGTTACTATTCATGAAGCTAAAAGATAGCTCTTGAACATAGTTCTTTCTTGCCATATACAGCTAGTTGGAACAGACCAAGCAGAGGCTTAAAGGTAAATAAGTTCCTAGTTCACCCAAGAGTGCAGCAGAATGTTATGACAAAGGACAGGGGTGGGTGTGAAAGCTGACAACTGAAACTAGACCCTGAGGAGTCTAGGACAGAAGAAAAACGGGATCTGGGGAATATGACACTATGGGAAAGATGGCAGAACCTATGAGCTGGCGTTTAGGGTGAGGCTGAGGGATTATCAGACTCAGGGTTAGAGGTAGAGAGCTAAAGAGATACAACACAGCAGTAAAAATAAAGCTTAGAAAATGACATTTTGTGGGCACTGTGGTCATTTACTATGAAGGGCCCAGCCTGTGGGCAATTAAGAGAGGGCAAAGATATTTGGAAAGGAGGCCAAGAATATAAAATCCCAGAGGGGCTGTCCTCAACATAGATATAAAAATCATCAAATACTATAACAGGGTTTGTTGGTGCTTATGAAGACAGCATGATGTCAAAGTCCTCAAAGACTGAAGTCAAGTGATTCAGAGACCTTTCAGAGGAAGTTGGTGAAGAACAAATACCCATGACAACATGGCTTCCAAGGAGAGGTGGAGTTTTAAGGAGGGGGCACTTAAAATCAAAAGGAAGCAGGGCCAAACAAGATGGTGACTTTTCCTCAATTTCTGTGCTATGTAGGCACAGGGGAAAGCTCTTATGGAAGAAGACTGGAGATACAGCTCATTGAAAGCATGAGTGATAGCTGAGCAAGGCTGAGGAACAGGAGAGTTTGATGATGAAGATGATGATGAAGATGATGATGATGATGATGATGATGATGATGATGATGATTGCTAGCCAGAGTGGAAGGATTTGATTCTGGATGATATCAGTTAGCGAGAGATCTAAGAATCTATGACTATGGTCCAAGTGGTTAGAAATGACCTAACTAGACTTCTTATGGGATCAATGGACACATGCCTAGAAGAAATGATAGATTTCATACTGAAGCTCTTGGGGTACACAGGGCACCTGGCTTTTGGTTCTATACCAGTAGGCAGGGGCTGCAAGAACAATCTGCATGGAAATACTCTCACCCATCATGATTTAGTTTCTGACTCCACAGCTGAGATTATTTCATTTATATTGACGCCATCATCTCTTCTCAGAAAATATCCATGTGCTGGGTTCATACATCAACTGATAACTGATATCTGTGTGGATTTGCTGATCAAATGCTTTCCTCCCAGAAGTAGATGGAAGAGAGGGAAGGATTGATCCCAGGTAATACTAAGACTGCACAGGACACTGGCTAAGCAGACAGGCAGAAGAGCAATAACCACATACAAAGGACTGCTATAATATATATATAATAAAAATATATAATATATAAATATATTTTATATATTTTTATTTTAGCTTTCTTATACCAATGAAACATGAGATGTTTTCTATCTTAAAACGGCTAAGGCTTCAAAGAGGTGAGTATGTTTTTCTGTTTGTTTGTTTGTTTGTTTGTTGAGTGAGTTTAGGAGGTAGATGTTGGCAGGAAAGAATAGATGTGAGACGGCTGGGGGAGCAGTGGGAGAAGAAAGGTGGATACGAGGTTGCGAGAGCCAAGAGCAGTGGAACACACTTCGTTCGCTGGGTGGTAGGTTTCCATCCTGCTGGGTCAGCTGCGGGGCAGTGCCCCATGGGACAAACGTCACCTCAAAGGAGCTTCCATGTGTATCTTTGCACTGACAGCCACAGATGACAGAACCCAAGCCTGGGGTGAGGGGAGGATGAGGAAAGTCATTCACACTGTGCCAGCAACACGATGTGGATCCAGGCAGGGGGATTAGAAATGAAAGCTGGGCAGGAAGCAGCGGCCCCGAGTGTTGTGAAGAGAAGGAAACAAAGGACGTTTATTGAAGTGATCTTAATTGAATTCCGGTTTGAGATGCGATGTTTGAGCTCGGATACCGTCACACACACACACACACACACACACACACACACACACACACACACACTCTCTCTCTCTCTCTCTCTCTCTCTCTCTCTCTCTCTCTCTCTCTCTCTCCTCTGCCTTTCCAGCACCTTGCAGCTTGCACGGGATCTACTCCACAACATTAGTGGATGGGATTGCTTCAAGGAATAAGCATGCAGTTTTCAAGAGAAACACATGAAAACTATAGCATAAAGACCAGAGAGGGGTAGAAAAGGATGTTAGTGTTCCCAAGCCCCTGCAAAGATCCCTTCTGGTCCCAGGATTGTTTTGGGGTACTGCGTTTGTGCTTCGCTCTGAGG